AAGATGGCAGGTTTCCTATTCTTCTTTTTAGGTTTCTTGATACCCTCCTCCCACTCAAACGAATGAGGGAAAGATCACGATTTAGGTGTACCAGAGGCGGCGTTGACACCCGCAAGAGCAGCAGCATACGATCTGTCCGAAGCCATCCCCAATAGATGGAGGTGTGGCGTTAAGAACAATGAAGAAAGCATTGAAAGCAAAGTCAGAATCCAGAAATTCCAGGGAGCAGGAGCGGAAACCCTGCAAATTCAGCAGACGCAAGAAGCAACCTGTCCAAATCGCAGCGACGCAGAAGAGGACGACGCCCCTGCGAAATAGCGTAGAAGCATACGACGCCCCTACAATCACGTCGAGCAGAGCGACGACGACGAAGGAGACGCGACACGGAGAGAGAGCGACGCGGCAAACAGAGCGGCACAGATAGCCGAATCCAAAGCGGCAGACGACGCGAGAAGCCGACAAGGAAGTTTACAAGAGAAATCAAAGCAGATGCTAGGGTTCGCCGTGAGGCAAAACCATAGCAGAGTGGAGACGGCGAGAGTTGATAATATGTATAATTATAGAGAGAGAGGTTTGGTTACGTTGTTTGCAGTCCTCGCACGTCATCTCCTTCCTCGGGTCGCAGATTGACGTGACTCACCACGCATCTCCAGATTGTGACCGTGGTCATCTTGTCTGGTGGAGATAGCCTCTACGCTCTGTTCCTATGCCACTGCCCTTGCCGACGACAATCCTAATCTTACCCGTGCCTCTATTTCAGGCCCAGAGTCTGGTTTTGGTATCGATAAGTTCTGCATTGTTCCACAGTCCTTCCACGAGGCTCTTGAATGTGGTGGTGATTACACATTCGTTATAAAACTTGGTAAAAAAATGAGAATCTGCTCTTTTTCTCTCTGAGGTGGAAACTAGCACTCTTGCGTCTTCTTGGCGTTTTGCTCTAGTGGGAAAATTTCTTTATGGTCACCCTAAACTTGAGATCATTCGGAAAGAATTTGATGCTATGAAGCTATCGGGTAGTTGGAATACATGTTTTATGATAGAGTTTCATCCAAAAGCGGATTCCCCTATCATTCCTATTTGGATAAAGTTTTCGGGGTTAAAACTACACCTGTTCAATTTTGAAATTCTCAACTCCTTAGCAACTGCTTACGGTAAGCCTCTCAAGATTGATAGTTCTACGCTTGCTATCACCAGATCCTTTGTGGCTTGTGTGTTAGTTGAGAAAGAAATCACCCAACAAGCTTCGGATGAGGTATGGTTTGGATCTAATGACATTAGATATTGTCAAAATGCTGAAATAGAATCACACCCTCCATATTGCTCTCATCGTATGTTTGGCTACAACTCTACTACTTGTTATCATTTACATCCTCACTTAAGGTCGGATATTGCTAAAGTTCAGCAACATGTTCGAAAACCTATTCATTTCCGCTGATGAGATGCAACCTGACGCTCTTTCCAACACTGTACATACCTCTGCTCATTTTCCTGATGATTTTCCTGATAGGAAAATTTCTAATGATCCTTCTATTCAAACCTTGGTTGTCTCAGATAAAGAACACCATATCCAAGCCGTTCTACCCCTGGATGCTCCTGCTCTTGAACACTCTACTCTAGCTGTTGGTTTGGAGCATGGAACTCAGGCGTTATTATAGACTTCACCTGTCCTAGAACCTATTACTGATGTTACTGGTGGTAATCTTGATGCTGCTTCTCTACCGCCTTATCTAGTCGAGCAAGTTGTTAATGCTACTCAGGCACATGGGGTTCATGATGTGCAACAGCCTACACCTGTCCTGTCATCCACTGATCAGATGAGTCAATCCTAGGATGAGGAATGACTGGTTTACATATCCAAAAGGAAGAAGAATGAAGACCTACTTGAGCTCAGGAATCTGATGGATGATACTTTGGTTACTTCGGGTAATGGTACGCACCTCGCCAATTTGTTAGCCGGCTCCCTTCCGAGAACTTGAGATAGAGACAGGACTAAACCGAGTCGTTCCTAGCTTTTTGCCCGCGTTGGTGGTTTTTGTTTTCTTGATCTTAGATGTATCTTCTCTTTTTTTTCTTTGGATTGTGTGTTGTATCATGTGGGTTGTGTGCCTTCTTTTAGGCTCACTCATACAACTTATATTTTAATTTTATTTTCTTAATTAATACTTTTAATTGATTATAAATCTTTGTAGCCTTGTAGTCAATTAAATTTTTTTAAAATACTACTCATCAATATATATAAAATTGATGAGTAGTATTTCAAGCCAAACACGAACAAAAAAATCTTTGTTCGTTTCGGCTCATTAACATAGGGAACGAGACGAACACGGGTTGTTCACGAACAACGAGCCATTTTGATAGTCACTCAAGAAGCAGCAGCTCGAGTATTATAGCAGTCGGGTGAGTGATGGGTTTGGGAGTTGCAGGCTATGATCAGTGAATAGGTAACCCTCTTTCACACTAGTTGTGACATTCTTTTCCTTGCACTTTTATTTTGACGTATGTCACAAATTTTTGCACTTTTTCTTTTCTAGTATCTATAGCGGGACGAACTTGTGTCGGAAGCCCCAAATTAGGTTTGTGGGCTTTTGTAAGGGCTTTTAGCTTGAAATCAACAGATTCAGAGGATTAAAGAAATAGGAAGAAGAGGGAAGAAGAATAAGCAAAAGGCTGGTTATGCCGAGAAGCTCATTTGAGGTAAGAATTTATAAATGAGTGAAGTTTTGGGTTACATCACAAAATAAGCCAAGGTTCCATGAAATCTTAAGATGTCCACGAATTTATGGTTATATAAGGCCGCAGCTCGAGGGGAGCATGTGGAAACTCATTGTAGGGATGCTCTGTCAAATCAGGTGAAATAATCTTATGCTAACTTAAGAAGAATAAATCTCTGTAGGTCTTCAGGTGATTACATGGTTGACACTGGTGCATTTATAATTTCCTGCATATTGTGGATGAATATTTGAATTGATTGTAAGAATGCAATTAAATTGACCCTTACGATATATGCAATTTTACCATGTTAAGACTTTGATGAATATATTAAGAAATCATTTTCTGCGTGTATTTATTTGTTATGATTCATGCCTACGAAATGTTTGATGAATTCTTATTATAGGAATTGTGTTTTAAGAAATGTGAGAAGTAATGTTATAAATAAACTATTACATGTGTACTTGCAATTTGAATGATAGAGATGTGGGGATTTTTGACTTCTGGTATTTAGGCAGTAAAGAAATATCAAGAACCGTTGGGATCAGAAGAAGGCAGATTGTAGGAAACCATTGGTATCATGACGGTTATTGATAACTGCTTTGTGGGGGGGATGACAGCTTTTATCATAAGCTAATGTAGCCTTCGGGTTGGGTGACAACCCATTGAGATGACGTGACATGAAAATAATTAAGATTTGTTCAATTACAAATGATATTGCTATGATTAGATTGATGATTCTTATGAACATGCTTATGACTAGACATTAATGAATGACATACATGTTTTATGCAAGTCATGTTTTTCTACACTTGTTTTTCTTTTATAGGGCTCTATACAATTCTAACATGTTGTGACTTGTGCAGACTTATGAACATGCACATTATTTATTCTCCATCTATAAAATCTTATTTTAACAATGATTATTTTGCTGAGCTCATTGCTCATTATACGTTATCTTTCAGGAAAGGGTAATGAGCACCGAATCCAGTAGTCAGGTGTGATTTGTACAACTTTTGCATTTTATAGTTTTGAGAGTTTGTACTTCGATTATATTAGATTTATCAATGCTGTATAGATGCATGTTTTGATGATATGATATTCAAACTTTCAAAATGTGCATATGAATGAATTATGAAATGAAATGTACAAAATATGTTTACCGCGATTTAGTTAAACTAGTTAATTACTCACTGGGTTATAGATAGTTTTGCAAATCATAATGAGTACAGGTGAAAATTTAAGGCCCGTTTGGGGCAGCTTATAAGTGCGGCGGCATTTTCAACGGTTTTGAAAACGCCGCCGCACCCTTTGTTTTGCCAGTTTGTTTTGCGCGTTTGTGCAGCTATTTGAAAATCACGTTTCAGATTTGGAAAAAACGCGATCGCGGGTATTGACTGCGTTCAGCGTTTCGAACGCCCGTTTGGGGCAGCATTTACGCGCCTGCCCCTCCCTCGTGCCAGATCCGCTCTGCCTCCGCCAAAGCTCCGGTCTGCGTCCGCTCCGCCGAAGCTCCGGTCTGCCTCCGCCGAAGCTCCGGTCTGCCTCCGCCAAAGCTCCGATCTGCTCTGCCAAAGTTCTGGTCTGCGTCCGCTCCGTCGAAGCTACGGTCTGCCTCCGCCAAAGCTCTGCTTCTGCTCTGCCGCCTCTGCCGAAGGAAGCTTCGCTCTGCTGAAGTTTTTATTCTACGGTCTGCCTCCGCCAAAACAGAGGTAGAATGGTAATTTCTCCAGAATCAATTGTTTTCCAGACGCACAAACCAAACAGTCAGACAACTTATCTGGATCAGCTGCTCATCAGCAGATTATCAGGATAAGCTGCTTACCAACAGAAGCTGGATAAGCTTCAGCTGCCCCAAACAGACCCTTAGTCCGATCGAATTGTCTGACTCTGTCTCACCTCAGTTGACCTTTAAGGGAGGCCGGTTGGGCTATATGACAGATCTGATTATACTGCGGCGAAACAACTGAGATAGTCTAGGCTGATTAATTAGAGAGAGAAGAAAGCAAAATGAAGCTATAAAGCTAGAATCCGTTTTATAGTATTATAGAAAATGAGATTCAAAATATTTATTGAAATTAGTTAACAGCTATTTTGGTAAATCAGACTTTATGAAAAACATTCCTCCAATTGTGAATGAATATGAAGTAGTCAAACATTATCAAAAGTAAGCTCGAATACTGTTTCGAGGCTGACGATGATTATGATGATAGTGATGAATGCCTGCGTATTTTTTCTCCTAAAGCAAACTAAGCCGAAGCAACTTCTGCTATATAAATTACTTTATGCAGGTCAATGAAAATACCCTCGTTAAAAGAGTGGTTGGAAGACGTTTAGATCCCGTTACTGGAAAGACATACAATTTGGAGTACTCTCCTCCTGAAAATGAAGAAATTGCTGCTAGACTGGTGCAGCGCTTTGATGATACAGAAGAAAAGGTATTTTAGATTTCTTGTTGAGTTTGTCACCGTTGTTTGAAAAATAGTGCTTTTCGTTACTTCGATGCTTTTATGTTAGGCTGTCAGAGTGGTCTTTCTAAGTATTATAGCCATAATTTTTTTTTCTTTACAGGTAAAATTGCGGTTGAAAACTCATCATCAGAATGTGGAATCTGTACTCGCTTTGTACAACGACATCACTGTAAAGGTGCATGTATGCTTATTCTGGGAATTATACTGTAGACGAGCCACATTTTAGTTGTTCTTATGAATTAACTTTCATGACTACTGTTAGAATCACTGTTGTTTTTTCTTTTCTAATTGATATAAATGTTTGACGTCATAGTTAACTGGATGGATCATTCAAATATGATCCAAAAGCAGAGGATGTGGAGTCTCGAACTTAATTTTTATCTACAGTTAATTTCATTTCTCTTTTGAGTGTCAATATTCTTTTTCAATTTAAAGATGCATGTTATAAAAGTGGCTATAAGCTTTGTGATACCGGAATTAACTCAAATCACGACCAAATACACTCATTGCTAGACTCAATCAAAAGATAAAATGATGCCTCCACATAATACAACACAAATAGATAAACAACTAATAATGTCGACGACACTACAAAATAAGAAAGAAAACACAAAATACATAACGACTCTTAGAGGAGAGCAGCACATCCGTAAAGGAAGGAAGGACGCGGCGGTGGTGTTGGAAGGTGGCTGACAGACGGTGACTGTGGTGTTGGATGACATAGAAGTGATGGCAGCATGCTGGGAAGAGCCTGGCTGCAAGTGGCGGCGAACTCGACAATATCCGGAAAAGTTGACGATGGGATGGACAACCGCAGGTAGGGTCAGAGGTGGATGGGTCGACAACAAGAACAGGTGTCAGGTCTGAGCAGCAAGAACAGGTTTCTTGTCTGAGTAGCAACAGGAAGTAGCTTAGAAGGGGCTCGCAAAAGCAGGAAATTGCCCAAACGGAGCTAGCGGCAGCAAGAACTAGCCCAAAAGGGGGCTAGTGACAGCGTGAACACGACCGACAAGCCTGGCGGCTGCTGGAAGGCGGTTGGAAGCACGAACAAGAAAAGTGACCCAAATGCTTGTGCAAAGGCTGGAAGATGCTGGGAGGTCTGGACGACAATGGAATATTGGAAGGATGGGCGGTGGGGAGATAACAAGGAGCAGGTGGAGGGGAAATTGGAAGGATAAATATTTCAACGGGGTAGAGCTACAGTCGGAGCAACACCCGTACCCTTGGAGAGGGTCGCCACCTTGAACTACTTATAGCCGAAGTACCTCCTCACCATCAGATACAACAATCGGAAGGGAGGAACACCTCAAAGGCAGCAAACTAAAACCTGGAATCATCATAACTTGAACCCTAACACTATCAACAACATATTTATAATAAGGATTAATAAATAGAATAGGTAAGCATCAAAATAGGAAAGAAATAAAAGGAAGGGCATAGAATAGCCAAGAAGTGAAATAGGAGAATCTTAGAGAAGGAAAAGGAATAGAAGGGAAGCAAAAAAGGAAAGGGGTAGAGTTGGAACACGACTGTAGCTGCTGCAGTACCGCGACACAAGCTTCCACGTCAATCTCCCCTAGGTTGAGGAAGCTTTGACTTTATTCGTTAAAGCTTCTGGTTTCTTGTAACACGGAGTCAAGTTTGTCACGTTGATGGTAGCATAGATATTACAATCCTCTGGAAGGTCGATCATGTAGGTGTTGTCATTCCACAACACGTTTTGGTAGAATAGATATTCGTCTTCTTTTGACACAACCTGAGCTGACATTGTCGATAGACGAGTATTCTCACGAATCAAGTATTGTGCCATCCCATTTGTAAACTTCTTCCACTCGTGCTCATCAGAATGTAGCCGATAAACCAATTTATGAGGATAAATCAATTATGGGATGAAATCTGTGGCAGGCTGCCCCCTCTCACTTGCAACCACTTAGGAGATGCCTCTCATTCACTGATAGGACCTGAATACCATTGAAGTTTTTTCATCCCCATCAAGCTCCTCGGGCCTATTATAAGGATGGGGTTTATCTTTTCTATTTGGACATCTAATGATAGGTATCATGCTGAACTGAAAATAACCTCTGAAAAATCCCACGCAATATTCCCGACATGGCATAACATGTTGGACCTCCCTCCATAGGTATAACAAATGAAGTAGTCCATAAATTTGAAAAATCTGCATTTCTCTTATCTGTGATGGCTCTATATCTGATGCTAGTTCCTCAAACTCATAATTCTTTTGGACATCCAAGGTCAGTCCCCTGTTGCGCCTGCAAACTGCTAGCTCAAGGCACTAATTTGCTCGTACTTTGTTGGAATACCCATTACATTAGAGTCAGTACCTTCTAGAACTGCTACTGTTATCTCAGCTGGAATCTCTTTCCTTCGATTAATAGGAATCGTTGGCGTCTCTTCCTCCATAAATGAAAATTAAGAATGCTTTTTGAAGTCTATATTTTCTTCTGGATTACTATTTTTTTTTTCAAGTGGAAGTTGGTTCTCTGCCTTTATGTCCTCGCCGCCTTCAGTGTCTACTGTGTCATTGCTTAATTTTTCAAGAACGCCCTGCCCAAAACAACACTTCCTGGCTGTGATAGATTTAGGGATGCGGGCTGGTTCCACCTTTTCTCCCCTTTGAATCAGTTTTTCCTCGTAGGTTTCCTGGGTGTACTCTGGCTATAAAATTCTAAAGATGAACTTCTCCAATAAGATGAGACAGTCACTCGGTGTTGTTGATTTTTCTGTTTTTGAAGTTAGGGTCTGAATTTTCAGTTTGTAGTAAACTGGTAGGAACTAGCACTGTACCTCCCACTTCATTCTCAGCTTCTTCCGTTCTACGGATGCTGGCTCTTCTCTTGGTATTTTTGGCTCTCTGATTTGCAATTTGTTGGTTTAGAGCTTTCTTTATGCAATTTGTTTGTAGATGAAAATGTTTCTGCTACATGTTTCTATGGCTTTCTCTGATTAACGAGTTTTGTCTTTCTTTATGGAATTTGTTGGCATATGGCAAGGTATCGGGTGTCTTGTTTGAAAAACCGATGAACTAGGGTGCTTGATTTGTACACGACATTGTTCTCTAGATGCTCACCTATGTAACAAAAATTTACATAGGTAAATTTATATGCATACATTTCACTTCCTATGTGGTTTCATATGTAAAAAGCATGACATGTTTATATATATTTGTATATTTTGAGTGCAAACCCTTTAACTCTCTATACATTTATATATACATTCCAACATGTGATAGTTAAATTGGATTGAACATGTTATAGCTATTTTGGAAAAAAAGTGGAGTGCTGTTTTGGAGAATGGTCATAGGGTGTGCTTGATTTTTTGAGTACGAATCTGAAAATTGGATGAAAGAGGATGCTTCATTTGTAGATAGCAATATTTCGGGTGCCCCGTATGTAATTTCCCCAAATGAAAAAAAAGGGATAGGGTTTTTCACTTCCTCGATGTCTGAGTGGTAATTTAAAAAATGGATGAGATAGTGCGCTTGATTTGTTCATAACATTGTTTCGGCTGCTCGGTTTAGGATTGACTCAATTCAAAATTACATATGGTTTTTTTCTGTGTTATCTATGAATCTGAAATTTGGATTAAAGATGGTGCTTCATTAGTAGATGGTAATGTTTCGGGTGCCCCGTATGTAATGCCCCAAATGAAATATATGGGATGGTGTTTCTTCACTTTCTTTTATGTTTGAATGATAGCTTGAGTAATGGATGAGATAGGTTAAGCCTGATTTGTTCATAGAATTGTTTTGGTTGTCCTGTTTGTAATTGCCTTAACTGAAAATTACATACAATTTTTTTTTTATTTTATTTTGATCTATTAATGTAGGAAGTTTGTGGATGTGGTGTGCTGCTTAGGGTGTCATGTGGCGTGGTTGGATGGTTGGGGGGTTGTGTGGTTGGGGGGTTCTGTCACATATTTTGGTGGCTATGGGATGTGTGTGGTGGTGTGGTTGGGTGGTTGTGGTCTGGGTGACTGTGGTGGCTGTGTCGGAGATTTAGTGTTGGCTATGTTGGGGGTTGGGTGGTGCTTGTGGTGGGTGTTGGGTGGTGGTTGTGTTGGGGGTTGGGTGGTGGTTGTGTTGGGTGTTGGGGGTTAGGTGGTGCTTTTGGTGGATGTTGGGTGGTGACTGTGATGTGTGTTGGGTGGTGGTTGTGCTCGGGGTTTCAGCGGTGGCTGTGCTGGGGGTCGGGTGGTGGCTGTGGTGGGTGTTGTGTGGTTGCTGTGGTGGGCGTTGGGTGGTGGTTGTGTGGGTTGGTGGGTGATGGCTAATGTCTGTTCTCTGGTTGATTTGAAATATTAATGTTTTGCCTTTTCTTTATTAGTAATGCAATAATTAAGACTAAAGAAGTCTGTTCATCAGTCATGTGGGTTAGGGAAGTCACACTCATATTTTGCGACCTGTCTTAAGGAGGTCGGGCTAGGAAATAGTCTCACCACCTATTTTAACAAGGAAGGGTGACAATATTATGAAAAAATTTAAGGAAATGACATGAAGGGAATGCAACATGATGTAATTTAAGAATAAGTGAGATCGGTTGCAGAAGGGCTGAAAATTATGAAAGAAACTAAAACGGGGATTCACGGGCTTACGTTGAGATCCAATCAAATGGACTACTGATGCTTCAGATGAATGATGGACTGAGAAATTAGATGTTACAAATTTCATTACACTAAATATTTTTTTTCCAGTAATGTCTCATTCTAAACTGTTAGAAGTAATCAACTTCCTCGCATATTGTAGGTAGTGCCGGCCGCCAAGAAATTCAAATTCTGTGGAATTGACCCTGATTTAGAAAAGGAGTTGGACCGTATGTTCAGTGGGATTGTGGAAACAGACACTCATGCCTTCACGCCAAGTGAGCATGGAATTGCCAGCATACCAGACGAGTTGGAGGCTGGACAGGCAACTGGCTCAGGTGAAGGCCTAAGCCCAAACCAAAATGAATTGGAGTCCTCCCGCAGGTCAAAGCGTCGTAGGGTGGAGAAAAAAAAAGGATTTGCTTTCATCAGAGCCCAAATAACAAAATTGGTGGATGTGTGCACGAGTCAAGCTGGTACTTCAAATGACACCTCCGTAGATGACTTTCTCCAAGTTCTGGAGGCAAGTTCGATGCTTATGGGGACATTCCGTTATATCTGAACTCCTTGAAGTTGCTGGAGGACCCGACCAGTAGATAGATCTTCATAAAGATGCCCCCTGACCGTAAGGTCAGCTATTTACGTTTTTTTTATAGCGAGGACACTTGATTTTGTGAAATTATTGTTCTATCGCTTTGGTTATTTTTTCCAGTTTCATCGAATATCTGATTTGTATGATTTTTCTTTCTAGTACGAACAATCTATATGTTAGTTTGTATTTATGCCTTCTCATTGTACGTTGTCTAGTTCACATATGTCATATGAACAGAGCAATTGTTCAGCATGAACTCAAAGAGAGAGGCAGAGAAGAAAAAACGTGACAGTAGTATGTATGTTGTACGAATACAAGTCATACGTCGACCGAACTCTATGCATGACTTCCACTTATATTAGTGATAAATGGGTTGGGGAGCTGCTGCCAGGACACCCCACAAGATTTATTAACATATTTCGTATGACAACCTATATTTATAGATATACTTGGTGAACTACATAGCCATCATGGACTCCAAGGCTCTTCACGAATGACAACAAAAGATGTGTTAGTAATAATCCTCTGCATGTTTTCACAGAATGAAATAATGAGAGGAGCAATGGAAAGATTCCAGCTGTCATCGGAGACAATCAACAAATATTTCTTTATGGGGTTGAAAGCTCTTGTTAGTTTGTCGGCACTGATTATTAAGTCAGAGGATCCAACATTCGAGAGGCCTCTAACAAAAATTGTAAATGACACATGGTATATGTTATTCTTTAAGGTAAATCATGTATAACATATTATATTTGAAAGTGAAATTGATTAGAGTGGTTATCACAACTTTATTTAATTTTTCAGAATTGTATTTGAGCGATCGACGGAACCCACGTGGATGCACGTGTATCCAATAATGAAAATGTCGCATATATTGGACAGCGTGGATCACCAACACAGAATGTGATGGTCGTATGTGACTTTAACACGTGTTTTACTTTTGTGATGTCTGGTTAGGAAAGCAGTGCACACGACAGTCATATTTTTGTTTTTGCAACTAGAAATCGAAATCACAGGTTCCCTCACCCACCTCCAGGTATATTCAAATAATATTCATATTTCTTGTTTTTAAATTCATTAATAATTTTTGTATTTGGGGCATATAAATATTTTTTGATCGATGATGGATATCCTTACAAAGGGGGCATCTGAAGCCATTTATGAATACAAGATATCATATTCATGATTTTGAAAGATTCAGTGGTGTTGTTCGGGGTAGGAATAATATATTTAACAAAAGACACTCTTCCTTACGAGGCGCAATTGAAAGAGTTTTTGAAATTTGAAAGAGAAAATGGGTCATACTGCGTGATATGCTGACATATTCATTTCCAAAACAGGTGCATGTTGTAGTGGTTATAATGACTTGACACAACTATATTCGATGGCATCATTCTCAAATTGATGTAGACTTCAACATGACTGACGATGATCGTTTACAGGTTTCGACAGAAGCATTTGAATATCACATAGGACAATCTGTACCACAGCCAGAAGTGGAATCACAGGAATATTACACCCAGGATGACAAACGCGCCTCAGAAATGATTGAATTGATAGAGCGGATTATAGTCTTCATTTTTTAAGGTTGATTGGATGATTCTTGTTTATTTTATTCAGCTCATTTTTTTATTTCAGTTCCTTTTATTATTAACATTATTTTCAGTTCCTTTATATCATACATGTCACGATTGATTTTTGATTTCAGATTTTTTTCACGCTGGTTGTAGTTGTTTTTCTTTTTCATTTTCCACTTCGTTTCTTTTTTTGTGGGTTTGTGCTATCCATAATGAGACGTTAGGTGTTGTGGGTTCTGCTTGATGACTTGTTAGTCGCTGGATGATTGTTATCACATGTGAAATCCTGATAAGGTCAACCAAATATCACTTTTCTTTTCGATGCAGTGGTTTTTGAGGTACTTCTGGATGACACTTATTTGTGATATACATGTGACAAACACGAGCTTGATATTACGTGGGTTGAATGCAACCAAAAATCCCTATTTTTTTAGGTCTGTTGTCTTCTTGTAGTGGCAGATTCGTTGGTTGGTGTACTGAGTTCTCTGATACCTCACGTCCGCACAAAACTCTAATTGATTATTGTTTTTATCAATTTATATTTCTCTTATAACTAATAGATTGTCTATTGAAGCATTTAGAAAAGATGAGCTCTGGAATTTCAGGGACTTCCTGACGATTGCTTTGCTACTGCGGACTTAAGACTTCCTTAGTGATGTCATGTCAGCCACATAACTACAGTTCTACAGGTGCTCGCGGTGAATCACGGAAAACTGTGACTTATTTTGATGGGCATGTAGGCTCAAAGAATCAACCACTAAGAATGGTCAGGGGTGCATACTATCCCTGGAAGACATCATAGCTACTGATAGACACAGCCTGCACTTTAAAATTAAAATTATCATATTATTAATACTCACTATGAAGTGATTTGTATATCTTATTTTGTATATTGTTCTAAAGTGAATTTTTGTTTTTCAAGTATAAAATATATTGCTATGACAGTTTTGTTGCAAACAACATTACTGCACAGGGGTAGAATGGTCATTTATCCAGAAATAGTTGCAAAACAATTATTTTCCAACAACATAAATCAAACAGCTAGCCAGTTTATCTAGATCAGCTGTTGCTGCGTAGCAGCTTTTCTACGGCAACTGTTTATCAGCTGCTTATTAATAAACTGCAGCTGCCCCAAATAGACCCTCAATCATTTACTTACAAATGATAAATTTGACAATCTTTGAGTGTAAGAAGTATTTAAATTAATCAAAGTGCTATGCAGATCACAAGCTCGATTCATTGCAGATAAAGTCAAAATGTTTGAAGTAACAAAGTGAATGCATTAAAATAACCTATTAATAGCCGCCTTGATAAAAAATCTCGACCAAAGAGGCACTTTCAAAATAAAATTCCCAATTTATAAGCTCAAGTGATGGAAACGATCCTTCTCCTATGGCGATCATTTTGATAGAAGATTTCACTCATAGGTTTTTCCATTTAAAACTTCCTCAAACTATAGAACTTGACAACTTTAGCTGGCAAACTCTTCAGTGAAAGCAGTGGCATAGATCCGTTGGACTTAATTATTGTTAGAGAAGTATTATAAAACTTTGAACATAATCTTTACGAAGAGAGGTCGGGGCAACTCAAACTCTGTGCTTGAACTTCGACTGAAAACCGGGCCCTATTAATGGCCTTGGCTACTTCATCACTTCCATTATCTTCAAGCTGTCTTATTGAAGTCGCCTCTATTGTGTTAATTGAAACATCATAATGATAACGCTATGTACTCAATAAGCCATCAATTGCTCGTTTAGTCACTACTACAAATCACTTGATCATGAGTGATTAAGAGACTTCACCGGTGCATGTCGTGGCCTCTGGATCCGTTGATCGAGAAGCTCACTAAAAGTCAAATGTACATAGACATACTTAGAGTCGTCATCCTAGGGTTTGTTGAGGTAACCCTTTTTGGTATAGGAGATTGGGTAGCATTGTCTTCCGTGACAACTTCTTTATTCTTGTTTCTAGTGAAGGATTATTAATTGGTCTTGCCTAAAAAGAAAATAAGAATAATAATATCAAATAAAAAATACTAGGAAAAAATTTTCTCTTTCTTCATTATGTATTTGCTCCCATAGTCGTCTTTGGTCTTCATAAAATGATCTTATTGGAGTCCAAGATCACTAGGCCACTAGCTTGACTTGCCATTAACTGGAGCATCAAAGAATATTGTGACAAATAAAAGTTGGTCAGGGTTTTTCATTACCATAATCGTGCCACCTTTAAGTACTTTCTTTGTCATCTCGTTAGTAAGGTATGCCGAACTATGTTTGATATCTTCTACTTTGAGGTGTTTTTGCTTGATAATTTGGCACAACTCGTGGTTGTCAATGTTCACAATCTTCGGTGGAGAAGACTCGCTCGCCTATTGTTAACAAGCAAAAATATCTTAACAACCAGAGTTGGAAAAGAAGTGACTATGAGGTGGGGAACTCTGCCAATACTTGTAAGTGTTTATGATCACTGATGTATGCGTTATTTCTGATGCTAAGTGTAAATCATGATAATACAAATTAAAATTCACTTTTACTAAAAAATGAATAGTTTCATCTATTTATCTTGATTATTTTGGATGTCACTGTCTAAAAAAAAAATGAAGGAATTTGCCCAAATCAAATGCTTGGCAAGTAGGCCCATTAAGGCACTTTTTCCCATCATAAAAGAGTCGCTTGCCCAGGTTATGGAAGAATCGAGATTACTCCATCTCTTAGCCTAGTGATCCCTCTTATGACCCCACCTTAGTTAAGCGCCCCCACTTGATAATCTTGTGACTTCGCCTATTCAACTGCAAAAACCTTCGATGCACTTGCCGAGGTAGCCTTCTATGTACACTCTAATATCTTGATTAGTATGCCCACTTGTTTATAATGGTCAAATCATCTATATATTTATTAATTTATTTATTTTTTTGGTGAATAAGTATAGTTTTTCTTGTAGCACCCAAAACCTTATATATGAAGGGTCAAAGGGGGCATTTTGATATGAGACATCTCAAGGACTTGGGGAGTAACATTTCTCCAAGCATCTCTTCTTGTTTCGGATTGCTTTTATTCCTTTTTCATTCTTCTACTTTTAGCCTCGCCAAGAATTTGTTGCTTTTGAAGTAGGCTTGGGCATCACTACAGACAAATTTGAATGCAACACGTGATATTTTCTTTTTTATGTTATAACTAACATCATAATTGAATAAAAAAATTTTGTGCTATTTTTCCGCTATGAAATATTCAGTGTGCTCAGGCTTCTGTGTTTTGCATGATTTAGGTGAATGGAGACTTGCCGAAAGAAGAGGTTTTTGGTGAAATAGACAAGCTGTTGTCCTTTATTCTAGAGATGAAATCCAAGGCCAACCCAGGATCCATGCCCGCGGGCACGGCTCATTTAATCGAGTAATTCTGGGTGCAATGTGGTAATCTATGGCATTCTTGGTGCGTAGCAAACAGCTTGGAGTAAAGCATTACATGTCACTTAAAATAATCGCAGCACTGGATCAGGTGAGCTTTGTTTCCCCGTTTCCAAGGAAGCTGATGAGGATATAAACATTTTTATGATAAAAAATAGCTCATGGATTTTTTTTATTTAAAATATTTATACCTCTTTATTAATCTTAATTTTGTTTATCTTTTTTTAAGCATTTTTTCCATTCATTCTAAAACACCTTGGAAGATTTTTTTGTAATTGCAAACGTGGTAGAAATGACAGAGCAGGTCTGTACTCCCAATCTGTGTTTCAAGTTAAATGATCTCACATTTTAACCACATATAAGTTGGATGGTAGATGATTAGGAGTTTGAGCCTTGACTGGATTTTTTTGTTCGAGGGATATTTCTTATCATCGTCTTCATCCGTGATATTTTTTCTAAATCATACCGAAGCAGCATCGTGTATTTGTAAGTCTAAGATCACTTATAAATGAGTACTCTTATATAGTTTTTGGGATGTATTTTGGACTAAAGCTGGTTAGCAGTTACTTTTTTGGGCATCCGTTAACTAAATTTCAATTCTCACATGAAACATTTGATTTTGCTACTAATTTAATTGAAACAGACATGAACATCACGCATTGTTTTATTACGTTATTGGTAATTCAAAATGAAATAATAAATTATTTATTGATTTCCATCAAAATCATTCAAAGTATCTTTTGTTATGGTGCCTTGACCGTTAAATTGTTATCAAACAACAACCAATGCGAATTGAATGGTTTGGTTTGCACAGTTACATAATTGCTGGTTTGATTTCATTCTGTTGGAATTATAGTAATGAAAGATGTAAATATAATCGATATGCGTACGTAAGATGTACGCAGCGCTGCTTACGTCAGGTAGGTTACAGGGAGGGTATTGGGGTTTATATCCGCGTTATACCCCTGTAACCTCCTTGTAATCTTACATGTAGCCTACCTGTAACTTACAAATATATGAAGATAGAAGCGCGGAACTTTCTATTTACAGGTAGGTTACAGGGGGTATACGCAGATATAACCTCCAATACCCTCCTTGTAACCTACCTGTCGTACATAGTGTTGCGTATGTATGTCTTACGTACGCAAATTTCTCCTTATGTTGGCGATGAATTACCGGCGTGCCTTGTTGTATTTGTTGAGACTTATATTCACGATAAGTTGTGGTAATGCAGATAGGGAAATGGTCAACTAGTTGAGATTATCATAACATGTAATGACATGTTTTTCCTCATTAACCTTGTCATTATTGTTTTGATTTCATAAATAATTTGGGATCTAGCAACCTTTAAGGTGAGATGAGCAGGCATATGCAAGAATCAGAGAGGAGAAAAGATCACTTTTAAGGAAGACTTATTTTAAATTGAGCGTTTATTGAAATGCGTGGATGGTTTTTGCCGTATGTACATGCATGATAATAATTTTGCTAGAAATGTACAGATAATGCTTTACTTATTATCTAGTTGAATTCCATACTAATTTATTAGTCATCATTAAATGCAGTTACATTTGTATTATATTTTTGTGAGGGTTCATAAATTATGAGTGGGAAACTTGTGGTAAAGTAGTTTCGTTTGTTTAGCTAGAAGGTATTTAACTTTTTTTTTGTTTTGCATAATTAATATATGCAAGTGATGTATTTTTTTGAATATACTCATGCCATAGAGAAGTTATGAATTTATTGAGATTTTAATTTTGATAAATAATATAAATGATTTCAATGATTGTAAGCTCTAGTCAAATCTTACACTATTCATGTTACCGTTGTCTGATAATCATTTGGAAGTACAAGAAACATACATATTGTTGCATATAAAGACCTAAAGCATCTACATAGCCAATGGTCCTTTTTATCACTTTACCTTTTGGATGCCATGTATTTGAAATGGGTTTTATTCAAATTATTATTAACGTTGGTGATGAGAAGCAATTCATTTAAGTTTTCGAGTTCAATTTTTATTCGTTGAAAACGAGTACCATTGTAACATTTACTTTAGTATCCTATTCTTTTCAAAAGAGAAGAAACTAAAAGCTTGGAATAGTCTTTTATTAAGTTTTTTATAGAAGGAACATCAACAGAGAAAGCATTGGAGTAGGAGAGCTAGGTGCTTGCCATGTGCCTATCTTTAAGTTTGTTTAGGCGAGGGAAGAGGTGTAGTGAGAGAAGGATGCATGGTAAAAAATTGAATAGTATATATATATATTAAATTAGGAGTCAAGTGGTCTAGTCCTTGGCATTGTATGTGCAAATAAGGAATGGAACAATTTAAAGGATCAACCCTTGTCCAAGTAGTGTAGATAATATGGCCAATCCATTTTAAAATTCTACTAATGAGTGATGTGCATTATATACATTTTAAAATAAGGTGAATAAATAATAAATAATACTTGAAGTATGGTCTAGATGTAAATTAGAACTAATACAGTGAGAGAATTAATCAAGTCATATTAAAAATGATCATGTCCTGTTAAGCTTGAGTACAATCCATTAGCCATATTTATGGAGATCTTGTCATTCAAGTTAATGGAGACTCATTCACTAGGTCCTAGGCAAATTTTCCAGCCAAATTCATTAGAAGATTATTCAAGAAACTCATGATTAACTCACCCAATGTTCAATCGAGTCATCAAACCAACTCAACCTAGATAGTCAGCCAAAGCCATTTGGCAACTTTCTCTTAATTAGTTGGTCAAATACTAGTTTTGCATTTAAGTTCTTACTTATGCTATATGTCTCTTTTAATTTATTTTATATTTTTTTCATGTAATGCTCATTTTTTGGTGTCAAAACTTTAAACCTCGCTAAAAAATGGGAAGAGTTGTATTTATGTAATTTTGATAACTAGTAAAAAAATATTACTGCTTACTTTGACCTGATTGTTCAATTTCCGTCTTTCCATATTCTCATCTTTCTGCTTTATTTATCCCTTAACATTCCTCTCATTTCTTCTATGTTAAGAAAGGTTCTAACATACATAAAAATTATATTAGAATTCAATATCCTAAAAGGTGCAATAAGTGTGGATCTATGCCAAAATTAGAAGGGACACATAAAGATCATTAAAATGCGTCAATAGAGAACTAACCAGAGAGAACCTTGCAAGAGAAGTTTTCAGGAACACGGAGAAATTGGAATTCATGACAACTAGATAACCAAGTAAAATGGGAGAGAGACTCAACATGATGATCCAAAGGGTTTTAATATAGATCCCAAGAACTGTACCTAGAGCTTAGAAGCTTAATGAATTTATTATCTAACGGACAAAAGAAAAAATTTTGGATCAAGAATGTTTCATCTTGAATTCCAAAAGGAAGAGTAATCCCCTGAACTTCACCAATTAAGGTGAGATTTGAGAGTAAATAATCACAATTAACAAATGGATTTTCTAGAGGAATCAATGAAGCTATGCCAAATTGTTAAATTTAATTTCTACACTTAGATTGTTTTTAATTTTGGACTAACCTAGCCAACCATGACATCTAATTAAACCATCTATTTTGTTGCTTGACATTAATAATAACCTAATTTGTTATTATTCTTCATCAAACTTAATGAATCTTCCTTTAAGTTGCTTGTGCCTATCACATGAGTTAATTATGTTGCTTATTGGGTTTAAGAGGTTTTTTATCTCCAAATTTATTATTTTATAGCTCCATCAAAATAAATTTAGTGGCTTTGCTAAAGATGCGTCAAGAGCCTAGAGAGTCATTGAGGAACTTTATATCAAGATTCCAATGAATGATACTTAGGGTAAAATATCTAGATCCAACTATGGCTAAGGTTGCTCTTAATTATGATCTTCGTGAAGGACATTAGTTAAAGGTATTAGTTGAGTTACTTTAAAATGCTAATAAACTCACATATTTAAAAGAATACAATAACAAGATGGAGGATTAATTTTTAAGTACTTCCGTCAAGATGTCCTTGTGCATTAAGAATTACACAACAAAAACTTGGAAAATTTTTATTTAGGTGGCCAAATAGGGCGATAAGAATAATATGACATGTAAAAAATTAGAAATACCATTGTATAATGGATTTATTATCTAAAAAAAATTCAAATTTTATGGGTCCATATATATTAGATTTTTTTTTTTTTTAATTTGAGTAATTTGGAGTTTATGGGATACATGCTTCCTATAAAAGTACCCCTTAAAGTTAATTGTATTTTAGAAGAAGTGGTCCTCTTAGAAAACCTCTTATTAAAATTATAGCTCATGTTAATTTAGATTTTAAAGTTTGTACTCAATATTGCTTTAATAAAAATTAACCAGAAAAATCATGTTAAAATAATTTTTTTTCGGAGGCCAAATGAGAAAAGATAAACAATTCTTATATACTATAAAATTTAGCGTCATTGACCATCCTAGGTTATGCTTTACATTTTAAAAATTATAACTTATAATTATTTGTGTTACTCATTTAGTTAAAATATCAGGGCTTATATTCAATGGTTGAAGAAGAGCTTAAGAGGTGAGAACTTATTTTATAATAAGTAAAACAAGAGTGTCTCAAAATTTCTATTAAAATAAGTTCCAACAATATAGGAGGAATTTCAAACCAACTCTAATTAAGTGCAATGAGACTTACAAGTTTCAGTTCTGCTAAGAAACAAAACCAAGCCCGGCTTTTATAAAAGATATGACCTTGCCTAGAAAGTTTATCTCACTCACTTATGCTTGAAATTCATGATATTTTATTTAATGAAATGCAAGATAGGTAAGTTTGTTACTTAGATTTGCGAGATTGATGAGACTTATGACACAAGCTAATGAGTGGCCCAATTATATATATATATATACATACATACATATATATTAAAAAGCCCAAAAATAAATATATTAATACTGAAAATATACAGAAAGGTTGTATGAGAGGGCCTAAAAGAAAGCCCAACTCACACAATACAACGCACACAAAACCCAAATAAAACAAAGATACATACATGTAAAGAACCAAAAAGCCATAAAAGGGGCCACCAAATAACGCAAAAGTGCTAGGGACGTTCCACTTTAGTCCTCCCTCTGCCTCTAGTTCTTGGAAGTGAGCCGACTAAGAAATTGGAAAGGTGAGTACCATTGCCCGTAGTAACTAAAGTATCATCCATCATATTTGTAAGCTCAAGTAGGTCTCCATTCTTCTTCTTCCTCCTGGATATGTAGACCTGTGATTTCTCATCCGATGATTGACTCATCTGATCAGTATATTCCAACGTTGGTCGGACAGGTGTAGGTTGTTGCACATCATAATCCTCATGAGTCTGAGTAACATTAACAACTTGCTCGACCTGATGAGACAAACTTATCAGGTGCCGCAGCTCTTGAAACAACGTATGGTTCGGTTGCTCTTGATTCATCACACAAAGGGAAATTCAAGAAATAGACTGCATTCTGAAACAAATTTCATTGAT